AAGTAGTTATTGAGAAACCTTCGCTAGAAGTTTTAAAAAAATTTAAAAATTTTTATAATAGCCAATCACAATTAAGGGTTCGAAGGTTCTATATTGCAGATCAGTGAAAATCTGTCGGTGCTGCTGGGGTAGTTGTGACTTTCTGGTCCCATATATGAGTGTGTCTAGGAATTCTTTTAATGAGGTCTGGATCATTTGTTGTTTCAAACGTAACGATCTACTGGTTTGTATATGCTGGTGTTCCTTCATAAACCAAGGGTTTAATCGAAGAAATACAGCCAAAGTCCTCAGTGGCCTCTTTAATCTGTCTTGAAATAATATCCTTGGGTCCCATTGGAACATTTTGTAACTTGACATGCAAGAAATTGCGTTTAAGATTAACTGGGATATACCCTAGTAATGTTTGTTTGAAGATAACAATTCTATTTGTAGCATAAAATTGTTGCTTCTCCTGATTGATAAAAATAACCTCGAGGTAGTGACGCTTTTCTCTTTTATAATGCAGCCTAGCTGCAATCAAATCATCTCCTATTTTTGCATACAAAGTACCTACAATATCATTAATTGAAATGTTCTCAAAATTCTGTATATCAAAGATTAATGCATTGTCATTTTTTGTATGGATTCTGTCTCTAGGAGCAAAATTAGAGTATGTTGCTTTACCACTTCTTAGTTTAGTAAATAAACTAGACCACTGACGGCCTTCAGATGATTTAATCCTCGAATTTATTGCATTGTTACCCAAATTCGGGTTCAGATAATCATTCTGCATGATCACGTTCATCACATCATCATTCTCCGCAGTTTTTCCAGAATGTTCCTTCATATTTCCCGGTGAATTTTCCCTTTCTTCAGAGGAGCTTGAGCCTGTGTCTGTTGGGTCCTCTCCCACAGAGAATTCTAGGTCCACGTCTTCTGACCAATCTACAGACGTGTTATTAGAGGTTTCTACTTGCTTTTCCTGTTCTTTTTCTAATTCCATTGAGGTAGTTGAGCTTTCTTGCGACACTTTCGGTTTATCTTAGATTTCGACCTAGTATTGTGGGTCTTTGTGCGTTTTCCCTGGATTTCATCCATATTAAGACTTGTAAACTTTCTTGTTCTTGATTTTAGGGCTTTCGCCCCTATATAACGGCCTTGTGCATTTTTAAAATTAACTTCACTCAACGTATTGTCTCTTT